TCCTCTCGTTGTTTTCAAGATCGCCCAAGAGAAAGAGCAAATCCGGGCGGAGGAGCCGGTCCCCGCGCGGTAGGAGGAGCCGGAGCCCGCACCACGCCGCCGTGAAGGTGAAGCAGGTAAATCGCGTTGTTGGTAGCAGCGAGGCTCGGTCCTGCCCGTGGAGTTGTTAGCAGGGCCTTGCGCGCTTCTGGCTCCGCAGTGACAGCTGTTCCTGTGAGACTCGGCCATGTGAGGTATGGAAAACGATTTCTCACCTGCCAGGTATTTTTTTCTAGCCCTTGTAGTGTGTCCCATGAGGAGAAGGAGGATCTTAGCTAGCTTGTGCTAGCTACCACAAGCTTTGCCATAAGTGCCTGAGTGGTCACACACGTATGTGAACCCGGCCGTTATTGCTTCCCCAGGCTGTCCCTGCAAGCTTCTTCATATGCCCAGAGCAGATGATGTATTGTGCTGTTTCTTCATCTTGCTTTATTCAGTGCATATTGTAGGAATCCAAATAGTTTGGCAAGGAAAGAAGTTTCTCTCGCTGTGTGTTGCAGAGAGCAACGCATCTGAGTACGTGTTTTCCATGCGTAGGACTGTGATTCTCTTAAAAGCCGAGGTAGATTCACCGCTTTTGCTTTTCCATTCTGATTCTGAATACGTCACTATAAGCAACTTTTCATTACAGGAGCGAGATGATCATTGTCGTAGAGGAAATGAGGAGCGAAAGCAGAGATACCCACCGGAACAAGAACACAAGAGAGAGAGAAGTGGTGACAGAGACAGACACAGAGATCACTCGGACAGAAGGAAGAATCCAAACGAAAGGCCTGGAGTTCGAGGCCATGAGCGAGAGAGGGATGTTCAGAACATCCGTGAGCAGCAAGCAGAGAGGGAGTTTTATAACGAGAGAAGACGAGAGCATCGACAGACTAATGAAGGCAGTGGTGTTGACCAGAATCCAGAACTCAGGCAATCTGATAACAAGCATAAAGAAAAAGCTGCTGTAAACAAAGAGAAGCCAAGCTTTGAACTGTCTGGCGCGCTTCTAGAGGATACCAACACTTTCCGAGGCGTTGTGATTAAGTACAGCGAGCCCCCCGAAGCTCGGATTCCAAAGAAGCGATGGCGCCTCTATCCGTTCAAAAATGATGAGTTTCTCCCAGTCATGTACATTCACAGGCAGAGTGCTTATCTTCTGGGCAGGCACCGCAGAATTGCAGATATTCCAATTGACCACCCCTCCTGCTCAAAGCAGCATGCTGTGTTTCAGTACCGGTAAGTGTTACTCTGCCTGCTGGTGAAACAGGATCATTCAGTAACTTGCGAAGAAAAAAAAACCCCAAACAACAAACAAAAACCCCTGCATATGCATAGTGAAAGGTACAAGTTTGCTGTAAGTATGTTAGAGGTGGAATTTATGCTTGACTGCTGCCTATCGTCCCAGCAGTAATCAAAAATATCTGTAATTCCTCTCATTTAACCACAAGCAGCCTTTTAGTAAGACAAATAACACAGCAGGGTTAAACACAGATCTATATTGGAATAAACCGGCAGGTGTAATTGGCAGTAAAAGTATTTCAAGGAGAGTTTGTTTTCATTTGGTCTTTCACAACAAAGACTGCTGATCTCCTCTGAGGCAGCAGGGGTTGCGTGCTGCTGGAGACAAAGGTGCTGTCTTAGGGAACAGCCATCTGTTCTGTTGTAGGAATTACTGTATTATATCATCAGAAGTTTTAGAAAGTGATGCAGTCTGTCAGAATCTGCTTCAGTCTCACACAGTTTCTCATTGCCCTTATCAGACTTGTTCAGATCTCTGCAAGTACAGAGAAGTATTAACTGCAGCGGGGCTCGTGTGTTGGAAAGTCTGTCTGCTATTGGAGTATGTTTCTGTCTCTTGTTGTGATTGAAACAGTGTTTTCTGTTTTGCTAGGCTTGTGGAGTACACTCGTGCTGACGGCACTGTGGGCCGCAGAGTAAGGCCCTACATAATCGACCTGGGGTCTGGGAACGGCACTTTTCTAAATAACCAGCGGATTGAACCTCAGCGTTATTATGAACTAAAGGAAAAGGATGTACTGAAGTTTGGGTTCAGTAGCAGGGAATATGTTCTTCTCCATGAATCTTCAGATAAATCTGAGGCCAACACAAAGGACGATGATGATGATGAGGAGAAGGAGGAAGAATCTGACAGTTAACAAATGAGGAGGAAATTGGGGGAGGGAGGGGCAGGGGAGAGGAATTCTTTGCAGTTGAACATGCATTGAGGATGCATTGGAGCATCACAGCACCGATGCCTCTTATTGCCTTAAAGTCCTTTTTCTGTTGCTGATCTGTTCTTGTAGTTTATTTTGGGGGACTTCACTGATTATTCATCTTTGATAGTTCTGCATATCAGGAAATACAGCCTTTTTTTCCCCCTGGCATGGAAAAGAGCACCCAGATGTGAAAGGTCTGATGCTGGGAATATTCAACAAATGTTGAAACACTGTCCTCTTCTAGGAAACTATGTAAAACACAGATGGCATATTTAAAATTATTTTTATTAACTGTTTGTCATAGCCCTTTGAAAATGCTACTTAATTGAAATATTAGTTAGAAAGTAACCCAATGCATTTTGTAAGACGTCGTGTTTGGTAGAGTTTGCCAAATTCTTTTGCCTGTTAGAAGTTCTAGACAGGAGAATTTACTAGGCTCGCTACTAAAGAGGTGGAAATGTTGCAAAGCCCCTCTTGTATTTGTATGTTTTTAGTAGTTAGTTTGCCTTGCAGTAACTTTCAGGGACATTTCACTGGAATACACTGCCTGAAAATTACAAGGTAATTTGTAATAGAAGTAAACGCTTCCTAAGACTTTAGGTGAGGATGCTGTGATTTGGGGGCAGAGGTCTAGGTCAGTGTCTGCCCAGTATGTGTTGCAACAGACAATGCTGAAACTGTTGCAGGATGTTGAGTGTCTGGGTCGAAAGCTGGGGCGTTTATTTCTGATACCACCCCTGCCCCACGAACAACTTCTTGGTTTTGTTTGTATTACACGTAAATACCTTTGGTGACATGTTTTAACCAGAGTTTGCACTATTTGTTCTTTTTTTTTTTTATAAAAAGTTATACTGTCTCCTGTTTAAAATAGTCTTCTCCCCTATAAAAGAAAACTACTTTAGGAAGAGAAAAAACAATTCCACTCACTGGGAGTACCGGCATCTTACATATTTTTGGATGTCTTCTCCCCATGGTTTGCTTTATGGTATAAGAAATGTATATTTTCCACACTGTTTACTAATTTGCCTGGATGTTTGTTCTGTCATCACAAGCTATTCATACCTGCTGTGTATATACTTTGTGTATACAAGTGTTGCATATTGTATACACAGGCTAGAACATTTATGGTGTAAATATGGGGCATTGATGTCAGTTTTGAAACAGCAGGCAGAATGAGTTTTGACTAGGAGGATCTCCTTTGTATATACTCTAGGGGTTTTTAAATAAAGGATTTGTAAATTTAGCCCTAATTACTTCTAGTTGTAATATTTGTCTAGTGTCCTTTCTGTTTTTTCCCTTTCCGTTCCTTGAAAGGGATCAGCTTTCAGTACTCGGTTCAGTGTGAAGGACACCAAGTAAGTTTGTGTTTTGGTTTGTTTTAAATAAAAATGCATGCTTGTATTCTTGGGTGGCTGTGAGCACGGAAGCGGGGGGGGGAGGTGTGTGTACCGCACTCTGCTGCTCAGGCCTTTCTTACCTGAATGTGGCCTCGGGGGCTTGTTCTGTGTCCAGGCTGTCTGCCCCAACGCAGACAGGTTCACGCTCGGAAATGAGAAGTCACGGTGTGGTTAAGGCAGAGATGATCAGTACCGTGAAAGGGCAAGCTAGCCCACCAAGGCCCACTTGCTGCGGAGCGTTTCGACTGACGTATTTGAAGCTTGAACCTAGCTAGAAACAGTTTGATTGAATCAGACTAATGTAGACAAAGTTGAAGTGACCTATTTCGAGCGGTTTTTTCCACAAACGGGAGGCACGGAGCCGGGCTACCGCCAGCTCTCATGGCAAAGGGACACAAAGCGCTGGCTTGCCGCGGCGGGACTCTCCTCTTTCAGACTCGTTCGGCTCCTGTGCCCGCCTCGGCGCGGCCGGCGGCTCCCGCGCT